TTTCTATGCAAGGCGTTCCCCAAGATCCCCCCCCCAAAGATGGGGAGGGTTGAGGTAGTTTAGCGCTTTAAAACCTCCCCAAAAAATCCCTTTTGTATTTTTCGCTGCGTGCCTGCAAAAGCGACCCGAGTTAGCACCGCTAAGGGCCAGGCGGTTTGCTCCTGGACCGCTTCAGGGTGTTTCTAATCCAGGACTGGGGGCCCTTTTGGGGGGATCGGGGGCCACTGACCCACCGAAAAGTCGTCACGCGCTACCCCCCACATTCCCCTCGCACGCCGGAGCCTAGGAGAGCCAGCCTGGTAGCTGTTGCGAGCTCCAGCCCCATAGCCGACCGGGAGTGCCAGCAAAGGCTCTCCAATGCGCTGGGGGGCCCTGAGGCTTTGGGGGCCGGATCCACGCAAGCCGGGGGCCACATCCGGCCCCCGGGCCTGAGAATTCCCCCCCCCTCTGTTCTAAGAGCTACTCTACAGCTGGGGAGCGCATTGTTAGTAGGTAGCCAGGGGTCTGGGGAGGGAACCAGCCAGGTAGATTTCTGGGGGAAATGTTTTCCCGCAAGCCCTGCAGAGAAAGCCCTAATAGGAAGCGTTAACAAGACCCGGTGGCTTCTCCAAATTGCCTGCTTGGAACAAACGAGGCTCTATCCCCGGCGAGGACACTGCTCTTGAAAAGAACAAAAAATGGCCAGTGCCCGGCCTCAGACAGGCGCGCAGTGAGGGGAGGCTGCATAACATTACACCCCCTTGTCAATGAGACCTTGTTCTCCCGGGCCCGCGGAGAGAAACGCGGCTCAGAAACCGCCCAGGCAGCGGAACTCGCGTTCCCAGCCGGACGCCTCAGCTGCCCAACGGAGCTGAGTTTAGGGCCCAGTTTCGGGGAGGCTCCGCGCAGATGCAGGAATTTAATTTCCTATGAAATGAAATGAAATGAAATGATGATAGGGAAAAAGTATGATGAGTATCAGGAAAAACGTCTGGATAGTCAGATCTATTATGTTGTCTCAGTCTCCCAAAGGAAAGGATTGAAATCTAATCACTTAGAACATTTAAAACTAGACAAAACAAACCACCAGAAGAAGCTGTGCTGCAGTGAACAACCCTGAATCAGCAGAAAGATGGATTAGGTGACCTATTAGGTCTTTTCCATATCTCACTTTTATGACAATTCTGGCTTGAAAAATAAACTGTTGCAAACTTAAAATTTTTTAATACATAAGTAATTTCATTTTTTGTAGATTTCCCTCAGCAAAGAAACAAAAATACCAAAGGCAATCTTGAGACAGAAGAATCCCAAGCATTTTTACAGGCTGGGGACAAACTGGCTAAGCAGCAAGCTTCAGAGAGCAGCCGAGTTAGTCTGTACAGGATAATCTTAAAAAACAACAAATGGTCTGGTAGAACTTTATAGACTAACAAAACATATAGATGGTATCATGAGCTTTCGTGGGCACAGCCAACTTCTGCAAATGACAGGAGTTTTGAGTTTATGATGTGCAGAGAAGGAGAAGGGAGAGGGGGAGAAGGCTCGTCTCCTATAATGTGGGTTCCTTTATTAATACCCCACCTGAATCTATGGTCACTGCCCAGGGACCACAGACCCGCCTGCTTAGATGGTTAACAAAATTGAGGCTGTTTGCGTCTTTCGATCTCTCCTTAGAGCTAAACTAAGGGAGGGGGAACAGGGACTTGGCTAATACCGATCTGCTTCAAGGATGGCAGCCGGTGGGTTTTGCTTTCCCAACAAGCTGTTGATTAGTGTCCCTTCATGCGGCTTGAATCCCGGCCTCAGTTCTTGGCTTGTTAGGGGGAGAAGGTTTCATGGGGAGCAAAGCAAGGCCTGCGCTGGGGAGGAAGGGAAGCGTCTACACAGGGCAGGAATTTCAGCTTGCGTCAACTTTGCGCCTTGTTTCCTTCAACCGCGGTGGGAAAGAAACTCCAGCCCCCTCCGGTCCCGCAGCAGCCCCGCGCATTGCTAGAGGAGTTAGTGCCCCTACTCCTTTTCCCCCAGCCAACTCCCCC